ATATATAATATATAATATATAATTGCTGTTTTAATTAAACTAAATAGCAATTAACGACGTTACCGAATCCACCCTGACTGTGAAAAATTCCGGATCAAATTACGGCACAAAGTGCCGGCACTTTAGGTGCATCATCAGCAAATTACACGTTGCCGTAAAATTCCTTTTTACAGTAAAATATTTAGTTAGAGTGATTCATAAATTTTAAATTAGAGTGATTCTATGGTAATTATTTTATGGTAATTATTACAATAAAAATTACGGTATATCAGATTTTTTGTTTCGTAACATACGGTAAAAATGGATTGTACTATAAAATGTACCGACATCCTGAGCGATGGCACTTTTTACCGTAATTTAATCAAAATTTTTTTACAGTGTATAGATGTTTAGAGAAAATTGATGTTATCTACCATAACGAGTTTAATTTCAAAATTTGCTTATTAGCTGTTTCAAATAAAGTACAAAACAAATAATGTAATTTTTAAGTAAATAATAGGTTTTATTTACTCTGTAATCAATGAATTTACTCGAAATAACATTTAAAAAAGTCGCTTTAAGAGTCCCTCATTAATCTGAGAATCCACCGAGTAGAAATTTCTCACGCGTATTTGTGAGCCCTTTTAGCTTTGAAAATCTTTTTCCTTTAAATAAGAAGTAAAAATGTACCTTTAAATAAAACTTACTACTAATTCTAAAGATTTGCGACTTCAAACTGTTTGCGGTAAACTCATAATATGGATAAGTGTTGACAGGTTACTAACTGATAGTTTCTTAATACCGCCTTTCACTTACAATTAAGGCTATTAAGGTTTTGGAAACCAAAAGTCTCCTTGAATAGATGAAAGAGATTCCGTTCCTGCTTCTGTTCATTCTATTCATAAGTACTGTGATAAATGCTACTGTAGAAAAATACCTCCCATGTAGAATTTGTAGTATGATTTCTTTATTGAATTTGAGTATGATTTTGTAGAACTCTTAATTTTCTCTTTATTATGAAAATAATTTCACTTAAAAAAATAGATTTATTGTTGCATTTCAAATTTTTTGATATTTTTAAAAACATTTTGAAAAATATCAAAATATTTTATAGTTTTAAGTTGTATTTACATACCTGTCAACTTGTTCAGTCATTTAAAATAATATTCTTCTTGGTATTATTGAATTTCAGTATGATTTTGTAGAAGTCTTAGTTTTCTCTTTATTATGAAATTAATTTCATTTAAGAAAAATTTTTATTTACTGTTACATTTTTAATTTTTTGATATTTTTAAAATCATTGCCTAAACTTTTTGAAAAATATCAAAATATTTTACAGTTTTAAGTTGTATTTATACCTGCCAACTTGTTCGGTCGTTCAGAATAATGTTCTCCGAGGTATTATTGAATTTGAGTATGATTTTGCAGAACTCTAAATTTTCTCTTTATTATGAACTTAATTTTATTAAATAAAAAGATTTATTGTTACATTTTATTTTTTTATTGTTGATATTTTTAAAAACATTGTCTGAGGAAACATTTTGAAAAATATCAAAATATTTTATAGTTTTAAAATTGTATATACATACCTGCCAACTTTGTTCGGTCATTCAAAATAATGTTCTTCGTGGTATTATAGAATTTGAGTATGATTTCGTAGAACTCTCAATTTTTTCTTTATTATGAACTTAATTTTATTAAAAAAATGGATTTATTGTTACACTTTATTTTTTTATTGTTGATATTTTTTAAAACATTGTCAAAAACATTTTGAAACTATCAAAATATTTTATAGTTTTTAAATTGTATTTACACATCTGCCAACTTGCTCTGTCGTTTAAAATAATGTTCTCCGTGATACCAACATTGAAGCTTCAAAGTATATAAATCTTTATTTTTTTTAATGTAATTCTTTTTCTCCGTTTTTCAATTTCTTGACTTGTTTAGAAACATAACTAAAAAAATATTTTGAAAAACACCAAGTACTTTATAACATTAAAATGTACATACAATACTTAATACGGTGATTGGCAGGTGATATTTGAGTAAAAAGAAAAGAAAAATCTGCCCCTAATATTATATTTATTTTAAATAATGTTTAAAAATTCTACCAACTAACAAAACCATGCATGTATTAAAAGAATGTGCTAAGAAATCGGTATTGTTTGCTTCAATTCGAGCAGAATTCTTACCTTTTCATAAATTTTCTTAGTAATATATCATTTACAAAGAATATTTTACTGTAGAAGCAGCAATTTATCAATCCAAACTGAATAAAAAAGCTATACACAATATCACTTGCGTAAATTATGCTAATTTTCAT